AGGGAGTGGTGACAATCTGCAGCTGGACAGCCAATCCCCTCTCTAAACCACTCTCTAGCCATCAAAAGTTCAGAAGTTACCTGTGAGATACCAAGGTCAACTTTGAAGCTAGCTGATACAGTCTTTGATTTTGGGAGAGCTGGGTCTGGGGGGACTTGTTAACCAGAGTATTCTTATGTGGTGCGTGAGTCTGGAGCCATCTCAGAACAACAGCATGCAGAACCCACAGCCAGCCAACCAGACAAGTTCTATAGCTCAGCTGCTCTCTATCAGCCTAGGAAGAGCTGTGTACTCTCATAAAAAAGGGAAAGGATAATCTGGTAAGACACTGTTTCAATCTTCTAAGCTTTAGATATGCATCTTTAATCTACCTATTTGCAGTAGTCTTAGAAACCATACTTCTGTTTTCGTGTCCTTGCCAAAGCATAAATAATCTCAAGATCTAAACTTCTTATAGCTCCCTAAATTAAACTTTGTACTTCTGCTACCTAATAACTGCAGAACAGAATGTTAAATTTGGACAAGCCGTGCTGACATTAAAAACAAAACAACTTGTGGTTTAGAATTGAAAATGAGCTGTAGAAATCTTAAAGGCAGAAATTACCAGAAGAAGGACTCTTTGGGGGCAGTAAGAGTCCTAAGTGATGAACCAAATAGTTCAGGCATCAAGTAAAACCAGTGTAGTTCTCAGTCAATTGCGAGAATAGCTCAGGTGAAATCTCACAGCCTCTTCCAACTCTTGAGACAAAAGATGGTGTCTTTGGTGGGAGATACAGTAGGTAGGAATGACCTGATTTATAATTGCTAACAAACCAGCATGTCATGACTTGCAAGTCATTTGCCCATTAAAGCTGGAGATGTGGCCATTAAGAAAGCAGCATTTAAGCAGGGTGTAGAAATAGAAAAACGGCATTTCAATAAGGTTTGAAGAAACGACAGTAAATCTAATGTATGAATTGGGTAAAATGTTCAGTCTTAGCTAATCTTACAATCCTAAAGACTATGAAAGGAAAACTTTGGTATATTGGTCTAAGCTTATCTCCTGACATGGCCAATTGTCAGCGCTCCATTCTAATAAACAACTTGGTTTTGTTATTATTATAAAAGTATCAGGTGTAGCAACATTCCTAAAGGGTTGATCCTTTTTGACACATACAGCAAGAATTTAGATTGTACAAAGAATACAGTTTATTCTCCTTCCTAGAACTGTGTACCAATTCTAATAATAGAATGATTTTATTTTTGAAGCCTGACAATCAGATTAAGGTTAAATCAAGAGGAATGCTTTCAAATACTGGCTTTTTTTTTTTACTTGCATGCTACAAAGATATGTTCTTCTATTTAATTTAAATTCTTTCATCACTGTAATGAAGGGTTTGATTGCTGTGCCATACTGTTATCATGATAAAGATTTTTGCTGTTTGAGAAATAACAAATGTATAATCAAGGGATAGAAGAGATTAATATACTCATTTGAAATTTGTTATGAAAAGGGTAGTGGCTGTGGACAGCAAGGAATGAGAGGAATCCACAGGGAAATGTTCATAGTGGCCAGTGTGAGGCTGCTTAGTCGTTGCTGAAACACCTGGTGACTTCATTAAGGCAACATATTAGGTGGAGCTAAAACTAATACAAATCAGCTCAGAGCCCCAAAGAATTACTTGTAAATGTTCCTGGGAAAGAATCATCTGATCATTCTCCAAGATACTAATTTGATGTCCAGTAACAGGCATTTCAAGTGCTCCTGCCTGGCTTGCTTTTCTGTGGAAAGAATTTAAGATCTAGGTTTTCCAGTTCTTTGGAGTCATATGTTTGTGCTGAACTTGACTCAAAAAGTTGCCCTATTGGACTGAAACAGAACTGTTTCAACTTAAACCACCAAAGTGCAGACATTTTTGTTTGCAGAATCAGGCTTTTCACACTGTAGCTGGTCGGTCTCATTTTAGCTTCCCCAGGGCTTTCCTTTAAATGTAGCAATAAGGAAAAAGAGCATTTCTGATAATTTAGAGTGCACAGATGTTAAATGCCAACTTCTATGGACATGCTTGCTATGAAGGAGTATGCTTGCATGCTTTAGGTGGTGTTTGCTTTGAGTATATGTCATGCACTCTTTCTGGGTGAAAGGAACTCGGTATCTATCGATATTTTCATGTTAAACATCTGTTGTGTTTTCCCTTAGGAGTATTTCACTAGATCTCTGTTTACTTGCATCAATACATGGTCAAACATACTGCTGTGTTTCCCCAGGGGAACGCTCCAGTTATGCAAACCAAACCATGGATCTGTCCCCGTGTTCCCTGGCTGCGCTGCGGTTTGCACTCATCAGTGCCCAAGTGAGCTCTGTGCCATATTCTGTTATGAAACTACTCATGTAATTGGTCATACTAGCTCACAAATAGGAATCATTTCAGTCTGCAATTGTGTACTGATTTATAGATAAGCAGGGGGCTCACGTTTGCGTGGGCTCTTTAGTTTGGAGGAGTTGCACTTTGGAAATACTTGTGTGAGGGCTGGGGTGGAGAAAGGGCTTGCAGCAAGCTGGGGTGATGGGATTCTGCTAAGGCAGAGACATACCTGGAGCCTGAGCAAGGCTTGTGTACTCTGGCCATATGGGAGAGCTTTTAAGTCCATTATTATTTGTTTGCTGTGGCTGTGCAACTTCCTCTTCCCCTTTGTACACAGTTTTTCTGACATGCTGTCACTGCCTCCATCTCTCCTGACAGAGAGAGCGAAGAACACGATACAATTTTCTACCTTCTGTTGTTGAGTTGGTTGTTTAAAGAGAGAGAATTTCCCTTGGACAATGCCAGAAAAGAATCTGTATCTGCCAAGGTTCTTTGTATAGAAACAACTGTTAATATATAACAGGCGTCCTCACAAATACCCATGCAGTACAAATGACCACAATGGGACAAAACCACTTTAGAAGTGAGGGAGTGCTGCCCCTCCTCCCCTACCCCTTCTTCCAAGAGTATTAACAAATTCATGGAAGGGGATGACCATTCATCTGTCATCCAGGAAGATTTCTTATGGTGAGGCATCTTCTTGCATTTCAGCTTTCAGGTAATTACTCCCCTTTCAATAGTTTTTCTGAGCGCAAGCCAGTTCTTTGCCTGTGTTGAAAGAGGAGCCCTTTTTGTTATACCTTGGCCTGAAGTAAGGACGCAAGCAGTGAGAATCAAACAGTGTTCTTCATTAGTTTATTTTATTAGCTCACAAAATGCAGTCTTCCTTGCCAGTATTGCATTATTCTTTCTCCATGCTTCTGTTAAGCATTTTATAAAGTGCAAGTAGGTAAGGACACTCAGTTTCTTCTGGAGAAACTTACCGGCGTCGCGCCAAGGCCCCAAATAAGGATGGAGCTGTGGTACTTGGGCATCTCCAGGTAGTTTAACCTTTTAACTGCTGCTAAGCCTTCAACAGTAGAGTGTCCCCGTGGTTCTCCAGCGTTAATTGCCTGACCCTGAGACGTGGTGCTATTTGAAAACTGGAGAGGAAAGAAAGCCTTTAAGGCTCAAGAATTAGAGATGTACAGAACTGCTGCCTTGCATCATGTTGCCATGTTCTTCTGACAGTATTGTCCTCAGTGTTTTCTGCATTTAGCTGCTAGGTTTGGTAACAGGAACAGCCTGTGAGCAATTTTGCAGTGTTCAGTTTTACATTTAACAGAAGTGTAAAAGTTCAGTGTCATGGAATTTCCCTGCTTGGTTGTTAAGATAACGTGGTCCAGCTCAAAATTGCACAGCCTGAATTGTAGGCAAAAGCCTTCCTCCCCGAGGTGAATATGTTAGGGGTTCAGAGCTGTCCTGGCCCTTCTCCCATGAAAACTGCCACAGAAGATCTCCTCTTGGGGTTACCATATTTTATTTTAATTCGAATTATTTGAAGAAAAACTATCTAACAGAATGTAGCTTTATAGATCTTATATTGTTATCAAGGAAAAAAGAAAAAAAATCACGTGGGCCAGCTCAGGGACTTGTTTCTTTTGAAATAATTGATGACATAAAATCCCAGACCAAAAGAGGTGGGAGATGCAAAGCATCTGGCAGAGTTTACAGCCCTGGGGGGTCGGGAGGCGCGGCACAGCCTGCTGCAAACAAAGGCCGAGTGTTTTGCTGATACGATTGCAAAACATATGTTTGCCCAGGACTGTTATGATCTTGGGAATAGGCAGGAGGCCAGATTTCTGCAGCAGCAGCAGCGCACTTAGTCACACAAATATCTGCAAAATGTGAACCTCTTGCGATTTCTCGGTTTAAAAGCCGTAATTATTTTGTTGCTTAAAGAGAAGGAAGAAACTCTTGCATAAGGAACAGGAGAACAGGGCGGAAAGCATTGTCCAAGGAGCGTCTCTGTGCCGGGGAGGAGACCGGAACGGAGCCGAGGGCTCCGGGGCTCGAGGCTGTCCTGCCGGGCCGGGGTGGGCCGGACGGGGGCTGCCGCCTCTTGTGCCCCGGGCCGGGGCATTTGGTGGCACTGCCGAGCACAGGCAGCAGCCGCGGGGTCGCGGCGAGCGCCGGTCCCGGCGGGGCAGCGCCCCGGCCGCCGCTCCGCCCCTGCCCTGCGCCGGGCGGGCGGGACGGGGCTGGGACCGCCCCGGCGGCGCCGGGGCAGAGCTCATCGGGGCTGCGAGAGCGGCGAGCCCGGCCCCAGCTCCGCATTGCCGGCCGCACGGTGGCGAGGCCGGGCCGGCAGCAGCAGGTACTCGCGGGTGTCCCCGCGGCGCTGAACCCCTCCCGGGGCGGGGGTCCCTCTCTCCGCGCGCATCCCCCAGAGAAATCCCTGCTGGGAGGAGGGGCGGGGGCCCGGGCAGCCCCTGCGGATCATCCGCGGCGTTTGTGGTTCGGGGTTCGCAGGTCCTGTTGAGCCGCGGGAGAAGCAGCCGCTGCCTGCGGTGACAGTGCTGATGCTGTCGCTGTCCTCCGCGACGCCGCTGGTCCCAGGAGGGCTGTGTTCCGCCGCGGTGTGTGCTAACCGGCTGCCTCTGCAGAGTTCTCGGGCTCGTCCAGGTGGTTTTTGCCTCGGAATTGCCCGGCGTTTACGTCGTTCTTGCATAGATTTGGATTATCCTTTTGAAACAGTAAGGCTGGTCTTGTGTTTCTCATGGAGAAGAGCGGGCTGTAATTATAAACAGATGCAAGCCAAGAGCATTGTTTTGGGCAGGAATAAACCTGCTCATTTGGATCTCTCTTGTAAGTTTCTTAGTGTCACCACCTTAAGATTCTTCTTTTAAGGGAAATTTTTAAATCGTCAGAACTGCTGTAGGTTGCCGCAGGGCCTGTTCTGTATTTTTCTGATTTAGAGTAATCCTCTACTTCATGGATACATATGGATACATATATACGGATATATGCTTGGCTTTGACTTAATCCAGCAGTACTGTCTATGTAATGCAAACGGTTACAGTTACGTTTAGCCTGTTTCCTTCTGTGTCACCAATTTATTGGTATTTAAATCGTCTTTACAGCAGGGTATTTGCAGGCATTCATTTGAAATCCTTTGCCCTATAATGCTTTCTGTTTCATTCCATAAAAAAAGTTAGGCACTAATCATTGAAACTCAGCCTCAGTTTCAGTGAGCTCATATCAAAAGTAAATTGGGTTGTGGACTCTAGGCAGTTGTGTCACAAAACCACTTCAGGAAGCGCTGTTAATGCTGGGGAAGAGAAGGTAGGCACCTTGAGATTACTGCAGTTGGACCTGCTTGTACCCCTCAATCCTAGAAAATGACCAGAGAAGAGATACTAGAGATAGAGACAGGGGAGTCTGGCCTTTGCTTTTATTCTTGCCATTGTAAACAAGGTGTGTGATCTCGGACACACTCTCCCTTGCCTTGATTTCTGTCTTGAATCAAGTCACATAAAATAGGGATGTTTTATAAAATCAGGTATTTCAAAGGACTTCGAAACATTCAGATAAATTATAATGAAATTAAAGTAATTTATATCTTTAAATTCATGTAAGAGTAACATACTCTATATGAAAGAGGAGCAGTTCAGCATTTGCCATGCTCTAATTCCAGTGAAGAGTGGTAGGTCTGTGTAACAAAGTGCTTTGTAACAGAGGGGGAGTACTTGTTCCCAGTTCTTCAAATCCGTACAAGTAGAGACATGTCTGTTGCTTCAGCTGAATGACAGTCTGACATACCCAGCAAATGGAACCAGTGCAAAAATGTAAAGTAATGAGTGTTTCTAGGATAATTCTTTTCCTATCATTTTAATGTGAATCATGGTTTGTTTGAGAAAGCCACAACAATTGCAGGATTAAGTAAACAAATAAAATAGGAAAAATGGCCAGCTCTTCATAGCCCCACATTTAGAAAATATGTAGAATTTCTCTGTGCATAGGAAATGTATCTAATCACCACTCTTTGTTCTTAATTCCCATCTTCCTAGAAGTTTTCTATCCAGTATGGAAATTACAGTAGCTGCTGCATTTAGCAGGACTGAAAATACAGTTTTTAAGCTGAGTATGTATCAGCTTGGGGACAGCTTGTCCTGTGGGGCCAGTTGTGCCAGTCCTTGTTAAGGTCCTAAACAAGGAAACTCCATTTGTAGCCTCAGTGTCACCACCAGTGAGATTTTGCTGTCGGTGGCCTTTAAAGGGGAAATAGGAACCAGACAATTCACAGTGAGCCCAGCAGCATCAGCATGAAGCCTCTTAGACTGGTAAGTGCCAAATCTCCCTTGGAAATGCTGCACAGCCTTCTTGTACATGTACATGCTTAGGGGCATTTCATCCTATAAGCTTATAAAGCCCTAAATGGGTATTTTTAATGCCCGTGCTTCAAATGCTCATTATATTATGCTAAGTTGAATTTTCAGCACAGACATGCTTGAGGAGTTAATTCTACCAGGAGATTGTGTTGGAGAGTTTTTAACTCACAGCTCATTCTGCCTTTCTTAAACCTAAGCTTGGGTAGGAAAGTGCTTAGATTATGTAAAATGATGACTGGTTGTCTAGGAAAATGTTACCTCCAAAAAATTCACCTCAGTCTCATTTCCCTTCTCTGGTTCATTACATTAGATTGTTTTATATTGTATTACGGGGTGTGATTTTCATATAATTTTGTTTGAATCTAGCAGCACTTAGTGCTTAATCAGGACGTAGATGATTCAGATAAAGATGTTAATTCAAATGTAGTTTAGTGAAGTAAATTGATAATTATCATTTTACTTCGCCTGTGGCTTGTCTATGATAAAATGTTCCCTTTGCCATTTAGAGACAGCCTAAGTAAGTATGTAAATAAGTCTTTCTGGTAGATACAAATCTGATAGACTTGGTAGTGGTACTGACTGTACTTGAGGGAAGAGAGATGACTTGCTGTGCTAAACCAGGGAAGCAGTTTGAGTGAGCATTGTGGATCATAGCTCATCAACCCTGAATGAAAATTAGCAGTTTGGTAACAGTCTCCAGATTAATTGGGCAAAACTACCATTAAGTTTTGGGAGAGGTTTTGTGATAAGGGGCAGAGCTCTAGCTGCAAGGAGCCAGTAGTGAGGGATCAACAAGGATCTGAGAAAGTGTTTTAGGCATACAATGGCAGAAGAACTGTAGCTTAGGTTAGATAGCTGTTCCTGTTCCAGAGGCTCTGTGACCTGGCTTGTAGCTTAGTTCTGTTTTCAGTGTTTCTAGTGAAATTTCTGATATTGGGTGTTTGCTTATACTGTGACTTTTTTTTTTTTTTCCTAAAAATTGGGCTGGATTGACAGCTGTAAGATACAGAAGAGCTCTACGTTGTGTGAATTTACATGTTAGAGTGGTCTTCCCTGAGCATGTATGTGCAGGCAGTACAGACTTTTGGTCTGGTTGTCCTTGTGGAGTTGGATGTGCCAATTGAGCCAGACTGGTGAGAGTAAGTGGTAACTGGGGAGTATATAATTAAGCTTGCAGACTTGTCTCATTAACTTTTCTGTCTCAGCTCTGCAGTGCTGTTTCTTGGTGTAAGTTTGCATAAAGTATTTCCTGGCTGAGAAGTCTCTGAACAGGCACACAGTCTGATGGTTAGGGCATTAGCCTGTGACTTGAGAGATCTCAGCTCAAGCCACCAGTCTTCTGTAGCAGCTTCTCTAAGATGTGTATCTTTTCCATTTCTCAGGGTTTTTTTGTCCTAGCTGGAAGGTAATGTACTTGTCCTATCTCAAAGGAATCTTGCATTATCTAAATGCATGAGATGTGATGCTGGGCTGATATGGCAGTGGTGAAGGATGTATAGATGGAAAAGTGATAGGTATCTGGTGAGCCTAGTACCCATGGAAATAATAATAGTGACTGTACAGAAATACAAGTTACATTACATAAGGGGGAAGAGGAGGCTTTTCTGTGTTTTTCAACGTTGTCTCTGTCAACAAAGCAACACAACATTTACATGGCTGAAGTCTTGCTTTTCTGTCAAGGTATGTCTGGAAGGTGGGCAGTGGAGTGGATTGCCACCCAGCAAGGCCCACCTCCTTCCATTAGCTTGAGCTTCTGGGTGTTGAGGGTGAAATCTGTTCCACCCTTGGTGCTCAGCTTTGCAGCCACCTGAATTTTATGTTCTGGCTTTGAAGATGGAGTGCGTCTGATGCATCATGATCATCATTATTGTTATTATTCTTATTGTTATTATTTATTTGCACCTAAAGCCTCAGTTGTGGTTGGCTTTCTGCTGAGCTTTGAGCTGTATTCAGCTGCGGAGTTTCTAGACTGAATGAAAGTGGTGTGGTGAGGTTGACAAACAGGAGGAAAGGATCCAGGAAAAGTTTGATGCAGACAATGTGTCACTAAATAGGTCACTTTGGTGTGCAATTCTGTGGCCTGCGCATGAAAGTTGCTTATACTTTTAGAATAACCAAAAGGAATACAGGCTTTTTTCCAGCTGCTGCTTGTCCTAGACACAACTGCTTCACCAAGAGCTTGTTGGTGCTTCAGGGGAAATGGTGCTTTAAGAGAAAGGTGCAGGAGAGAGGTGTAGTGCTGTGTCTGGTCAGGAGGCAAGGTCTTGCCTTTGAGAGGGAGAGTGTTGCTCCCTAGTTGAGTGTATTTGGAAGATGAGGTTTAGTGAAGGATATAATGAAGCATAGAAATACGTTCAGGACAAAGGAGAGATTCACTAGGATTGTTTTGAGAATTATTACCGTGCTTTCAAGTATTTGAAATGCTGGGATGCTGGAAGCACACAGCTATTTCTGAAGTACTAGGAGAACTTGATTAAATTCTGCTTCTGAAAAAGAGAGGAAAACAGTTTTTAAAAGGTCTGCATAGCTTGTAACTGAAGAACAAGTTTTCAAAAGGCTCCTAATGGATCCGATTTTACACAACTCTCATGACTGTTAAGCGTGCACCTCGTGGCAAGGTGTTTCTGTTCTCAGCACCCTCTGGAAGAAACTCCCATTTTGCAGACGGGAAACAGGCTCATCTTCACAAATCCTTTGTTACATCTCTGTCACAACAGAGCCTTGACCCCAGGCTTCTCAAGTGCTAGGCTGGTGCCATGATATCAGGGGGATGATCCTTCTCCTGATGGAAAACAAAGCAACTTATTTAATCATTAAAAAAACCTCTTGAGTCACTTTGCAGCGAGGTTTTGGATGGTTGACTAATATAACCTTTTACATGCTCTGTAATTGTAAGTTTGACCTCTGTATGCTTTAAAAAACAGAAGTGTATTGATTGTGATGTATTTTATGTTGTGGAGCAAAATACAGTAGCAGTCTGCTGATGTCAGGTTCTTAAAGCTGGGTTTGGGATTTTTTTTCCTTCTAAATGTTCTGGGCAAAGGAATGACTGAAAAACAGTTATTCAAGAATTAAACTTCAAGCTATTTGTCTTGGAGGGCTTCATCTGGCAAAGTGCAGACATCTGCTAAATTAAATGCTGCTTACAATTTAAATGACCTCTCTTTTTGCTTGCTGTTGTTTGGCTATAAGATGTTTCTCTAGTGTAATTGTAGAAAAATAAGAACCTCTGCTGAACTTTTAGAGATGCTGATAAATTCCATCCTACAAGTAGCATTGGTAGGCTGACAGGCAAAATTTGTGTATGTTGGGACCCATAGGAGGAAAAAGCTACACTGAGGGGAAAAAGTGAAAAGACCGTTTGTAAGACGTGCCCTTTGATCTTACTTTATCCAAGTAAGACTTGAGAAATGAAGGCATCCGATTTTAGGATTTAAGGAGACTGTCAGAGTCTGAAGAGTTTGGCAGTTGCCCCTTAGGCCTGCACTCATTGTTTCCAGCTCTCTGAAGCTGTTTTTTAATCTTAGGGGAAAGTTCAGGAAACTGTAACTGATTAAAAAAATTGCTTGTCGTACACTGAACTCGTACAAATAGAAACCTCAGCTAAAGAGAGAAAAAGTGCAGTAGTGAGTGCAACCAGTATTGCATGTTTATAGCAGCCTTTATCTATGTGGGGGAAATGTGGCGAAGTTAACAATGCATTTGGCAGGCAGCTTTTGGAACATCATCTGCTCTTGAGGCCTGAACCAGCTGAGGGTTCTGGCTGGACTGGCTCAGTGCATGGTCTTTATTCATCTAAACCTGCTTGGGAACCTGGACAAAGTTGGTATCATCACAAAATGGGTGGGTTTGGCTAAAGAACAGGGGCAGATGGATAAGTTCTAAAAGATGACTGGAAAAGAGGGCTCAGGTAAGGAGCCCAAACCATTAGTTGATATAATGCCTGGTGTTTGGTGATCAGCTCCATCCTCAGCTTTAATCACAGGTCTCCCTCCATCTGCAAGAGTCCCATGCCATCAGCTGGCAGGGCTCCCATCTTTCCTGGGGAAGCCAAGCTGCTCACTTGGAGAGTAATCCCCTCAGGAGAGCTGGTTGGCAGCAAGTGCCACACACAGGGCAGAGGGAGCCTCTGCAGCAATGGCTTGGGGGGCATGTGTGAAAGTGTAAGGTGAGGCTATGCCCTGCTTTGGTACCTGCCCTCTGGAACCTGCTGTGCCTTTTCAGGGGGCTGCTCCGTGCTAAATAGAGAGATTGCCCTGGAACATGCAGCTCCCCTCTTTCCAGAGGGAACAGTGTTAATGGCCAGGACACAAATGCACCCAAGTCTTCTCTGTATTTGCTCCTTGGCTGCAGGAAAGGCCCAGGGTGCCATAGGCCTGTCAGAAAGCTTCATCCAGCTGAAGGAGAGGACAAGTTGTGAACTGCCAGGGTTATCCAGCCTCCACCTTACCTGCAAGGCAGCACATCCACACAAGTGGGTGCAAGGATGTGGCTGCTGCTCTTCCGATGGAGCAAATTCCCCTCCCTTCTTCCCTGCAAATGTGAATAGCTTTTTATCCTGTCTTGAAAAGAAAGCAGATGCAAATGTACATCAGGTACTTTCAGCAGTTTAAGTGCTCTTTGAGGTTGGGAAGAAGAAATCTGATTAGGGTTACAGCTGTTTCATTTCCTGACAGATGCACAGGGTGTTGTGTGCTGGCGAACTGCGGATGTACACACACAGCAGCCTCGTTTTGTATCAGTGGCATAACCACACAGCAGCCGGCATGTTCGGAACTCCTTGTCCTGGACACCCTGCCAAAATATGCTTTATGCAGAATTTTCTGTGAACCAGGCTGTAGTGTGTTTTGTGTGTGTGTGTGCGCATGCATATAAATTTCTGTGTGTTTTCTTTGGTTGACAGGGCCTTTGTTGTTGAACTTTTTGTTGCTGTAAACAAGCGCAGCTAATTATATAAAGCACTTGCATAAAAAAATGATTTGCATTTGTACAAACAGTACTAGTAAAAGTGCCCGTGCAAGAGACCACAATTACCCAAATAAGCCCAGCTCTGAATGGGGAACTCTTTCCTTTCTTGCAACCACAGCTAAAAAAGCTGTTTATAACTAAATGCTAAGGTGGTGTAATTTTCTTTTCTAGGAACTTGGAATAAGAATTCCTAGACCACTGGGACACGGACCAAGCAGATTCATCCCTGAGAAGGAGGTGTGGTAGTGTTTTCAAGTACATAGTGAACTTTATGCTTTTAAGGAACATGATTTTAGTAGTAGCCCACAGTGGTTTCAGGACAGCTGATCTGCAAAACATTTTCAGCAGTGATTACATTCAGTCTTGAGACTTTGGCCAGTTCTAGTGTACAGAACAGTGAGAGCCTTAGGGAGCTTTAGAATAGTTATGACCCCTCCCATGTTGCTATCTAGCATGAGAGAAACCCAATACTGTTTCCTTGTGAACATCCGGATGTAATTTCCTACTGGTCCACAAGGTACCTGCCCCTCTGCTCTGGAATTGCTTTTTCTTGAGCTGCCTCTACCACTCTGAAGAATCAGAATCTCCAGAGTGCTGTGCATGAGCATTTCTGCTGCTTCTCTCCTGATTGTCTGGTAAGAGAATTTGGAGCAGAGGAAAAGTTAGTAATATGCCTGTGGTTTTCTAGGAATTTTAATCTTCCATTTCTGTTTTTTTTCTCTCTTGTCATCTTAGCTAGTTTTTTACTTCTTTCTCTCTTTTTCCCTTAGTAAAAGTGATGATTCAATTAGCTTTTAGTTATAATAAACTAAGATTAACCTGGGGTATTCAGAAAGAAAGTGAAGGTGAGACAGTTAAAAATTAGAAGTCAGTGTCATATTGGGGAGAGACTAAAGCCAAAAATCTCCTTTTGCTGATATAACCACTTGTGATCTCCTAAATGAGAGATCATTTGAGAGGTATTACAGGGATTTAACGTGCCTTATGTGCACTGATTTAACGCCATTAATAGATTTAGAATATAATTCCTTTCACTTGGGGCCTCTGGGTGCTGTGCTAATATATTTATTTGCTATTTTATTGGTGGCACTTGGACAACATTGCTCATTGCTCTTTCTCTCCAATCAGACAATTCAGGTGGGAAAGGAGGACGCCACGATGCACACACTGTTTGCTGAGTCTTTTGCCACGCTGGGCCGACTGGACAATGTCACCTTGGTGATGGTTTTCCACCCGCAGTATCTGGAAAGCTTTCTAAAAACTCAGCACTATCTCCTGCAGATGGATGGCCCGCTCCCGCTCCATTACCGACACTACATCGGGATAATGGTACGCACCAGGCGGGAACCGCCGCACCGCCGCTCGAGTCCTGGCTGAGAGCAGCTGTTACTGTGTTTTGCAGTTTCTAGCTGGAAAGGCATTTCACCAGCAGCTAAGGGAAAAGCACAGTAGGTTTGTTGGTGTCGGCTTTACAGATGGTTTCAGAAGAGCAGCACTTTTTGTTCATAGATTTGGTAGGACTGTGAGAAAAAGGGGAAAAGCGTGCTATAGGAATGAGACAATTGTTATTGGCTTCCTTAGTATCTCAGAAACTGTTTCTCAAGAAGGCTTGTTTTTTTGTGTGTGTCCCCTGCCCTCTCTAACTCAATAGTTGGTCCCATCGTGCATTTCTAAATATGTAAATTCTAAGCAAGTTTTCTGCCAAAAGTGGTTGATTTCCAATTTTTAATCTGCCAGTTCAATGATCTTTGCTTGCTGAAGTTGAATTAAAGTTTTGGCTGTGTCTCAATTTGATGTAGAAAGTGTTGGAGTAAATGATACTGGGCCTTTCTTTGCTGAGAAGCTGCCCGTAGTGTCTCTTGCCATATGCAATCTAAAACCTGCTCGTGATTGTTGCTGGTAAAGGTGCAGCTAGAGATAGCTTCTTCCCCCCTGGGGAGTACAATGCAGTATGGATTACTTGCTTCAGGACATGTAATAAATCCATGCCTGTATTTCTCCCTGGGTATAGGCATGTTGCACCTGTAGCCAGAATATTGATGGTGTGTATGAACAAGGGATATTTATGTTATGAGAACAGCAATCAAAACGAGCTGATGTGTTAATCTCAGAAATCTTTTTTTATTTGAGTCTTTGATCAGTGCAAATCTTATTGTTGGATGCTTTGATGAAATGATGACTTATGGTATTTGTCATAAAGTACTAACTTTCTGTAATTGTTTTCTGTATCACACTGTTTTCCTTTTTAGGCTGCAGCACGACATCAGTGCTCTTACCTTGTTAACCTTCATGTGAATGACTTCCTTCATGTCGGTGGAGACCCTAAATGGTTGAATGGTCTGGAAAACGCACCTCAAAAATTGCAAAACTTAGGAGAACTGAACAAAATGTTGGCTCACCGACCCTGGCTTATCACCAAGGAACATATCGAGGTAGGTCTTTCATGGAGTAATGTGAATGTCCCCTTTCTTCAGTAAAGCAATCAGATTCTTGGGGTTCAGAGCCAGACAGGGTGAAAGATGTTCTGTGGTAATGACTTTGATTTCAGTGCTACATCATTGCATGATATGGTATCACTTGTACCCTGTTGTGTAAAACTAACAGGATCATAACTGCTCTTAAATGAGTAACAAATTTAATTTACAACACACTGAAATTTCCCTGTCGTGTTGTAATTCTGTTGGTGCAATGACGATGGGCTCAGATGTGCTTCTCCCTCCTCCACCTGTGCGCTTTCAGTAGAAACCCTCGGGTGTTTCTGAGATGCTGCCAGAGGTCAGGCAGAACACCAGCCACCACATTTTTGTCTGGCTTGCTGCCAGTTCAAATGCTGAGTTCTCAGCCTGGGATGGAGGGAGCAGGCTGACAGAGCTGCCCAGGGGAGTGGTGGTGGTACAGGACAGCCAGGACTGCAGCACCAACAAACCACCAAGGGGCTGCTTCTTCCACCCCCTCTGCTGTCCTCTGTGCCCGTAGCAAGGAGCACGTGGGTGCTGGGACTTCCTGGGTGCTGCCTGGCGTGGTGGGAGGTGGTGGCAGGTCCAGCTGGAGGCAGGACGCTGCACTGTGGGGGAGGGCACACACTCTGCCAGAAGGCCCCAAACCTCCCACACTTTCCTGCCTGAAGGGGAAGTTGGGGTTTGAAGCTTCTTGTCGAATCTAGAGCATTCCACCCACAGGGACAAGGTGGAGGGAGCTTGGCCCTGGTGCCAGGTTTTCACATGGCTGATCTGCAAGGAGTTGTCTGGGTGTTCTGATGCTGTAAAGACCATTATTTGAACAAACATGCAGCAATTGTGGTTGCATCTTCATCAGAGGTGTGAAATTTCAATGCAAGTCAGTATGGCCTCGATAGAAACCACACGGTGCAAATGAGAAAACCCCAGCTTATTCAATTGCCCAGGGACAGAGAGGGGAGAGAAGTTGTGTCCTTTGTGGCTTAACCACGCAGGTCTGTGCTTGGCAGGTCACCTGGTAACAGGTCACTGACCACACTCATGGCAGCAGAGAGTTAGAAAGCACATTTGGATGTCGGAAAAATAATTTTACCTGGCAAAGAAATGTGTTGATAAACTGCATTAAAGTGGGGTCAAATGAATTACTTTAATACTTTTGTCTTGCATTATTTTTAAAGCAACTTTTGAAGACTGAAGAGAACAGCTGGTCCCTGGCAGAGCTGATTCATGCAGTCGTTCTCCTTACACACTACCACTCCCTTGCTTCCTTCACGTTTGGCTGTGGGATCAGCCCAGAGATCGACTGTGAAGGGGGTCACACCTTCAGGCCCCCCTCTGTCAGTAACTATTGCATATGTGATATAACAAATGGTTACCACGGGGTGGATGAAATCCATGCCAGCCAAGCTGGAAGTATTCCAGTAAGTTTTTGAACAACCTCTTCCAATAGTAGTAATTTCTCTGTAAACTTAATACATGGAGGGTGCCTGTCTCTTTTCGTTCTTTGAGAATGGGATTGATGAGCCTAATCCAGACGTGGGTATTGAAAAAATGCACTTAGGAGGAGCTGAAATGATATTGGGAAGCTGGCAAAGCTACCAAAGGGAGAAACAGACACAACCTCTGGGGTTTTTTTCTGCCTGTCATTCATAAAGGTGAACTAAGATGAGTCCCAGCCTCAGCTAGTTCATGACATGTGTCCTGAGCAGCAGTGGCCAGGAATCCTTTTTTCATCAGTGCAGTGGAAAGTTGGCTTTTCCTTTGATTACAGGCTCTGACTTTTTTGCCTTGAGGTGTTTGTCATGCATCACACAACAGATCATTCTTAATAGATTATTCACAACTTTGTGACTCTCTTTAAAACACTCTCCTGCCTACAGCAGTTATGCTGACCTGGTCTTGTTTTCCCTTGGTGAAAAGCATGATGTGAAGTAAGTGTTGGTTTAAGAGCAGCCATGAGGATGTTCTCACTGCAAGATCCTTGCCTGTGATATTTTACTGCAGTGGTGTGGGTGGCATTTAAATTTGTTTGATGGAGCTTGCTGGCTCTCTGAAGGAGCAGACTGCAAAAGGCAGGGAGGAAAGGGGCAGAACTGTATAAATTAAAGATAATTTTACTTTACTTCGGTGCTGAGGAAAGTTTACAAGATCAATTACTGAATTCTTGTGGTGTTAAAACAGCTCTTGTGAAAGATTATTATCTTGCACTGGCTCTTTTTGAGGCTTCATTAAAGCTGCATTTATACTAACCCTTCCTTTTTCCTTCAATGTTTCTTCTCTGTGAGCAGAGGAGGGGAAAAATACAGTTGAGTGTTAAATTGTGGTTACTTCCTCTATCAGAATTTCTGTTACAGCTCCTTGTTTTTCAGTTGCTGAACATTTAGACTAAGAGAAACTAATTTTAGTGTGAGAACAACTAGTTCCAAAATGCTGTGATTTTTAAATCATGCTAAAAATACCAGGGATATAATTGAGAAAAGATGATGACTAAATGTAAACCATTGGGTCAGTACAGGTTTCTTCCAAGAACTGTGTTCCTTGAAAAATCTTTATTTAAAGATGTGAAGGACTTCAGTTGGGTTCAAGCTTTTTGGCTTGGCAGTTTCTGCTATCATTGTCAGTTCCTTTTGCATGAAAATGAAATGTCTTTTTCTTCTTTTTAGTCTACAGAGTCTGTCTGTGAAGTTGAAGCTCTTATGGAGAAAATGAAGCAGCTGCAGGAGTGCAGAGATGAAGAGGAAGCCAGCCAAGAAGAGATGGCCACACGTTTTGAAAGAGAGAAGAGAGAAAGCATGTTTGTGTGCTCTTCAGGTAGTGCAGATATAGTCTGTATATATATTTATTAAGACACTTCCAAATTATTTGAAGAAATACTCCTGCAAAAGGGGAAAGAAGTGCTATTAGATGTCTCACAAACATCACCATTTCTTTGAAGGAATCGAGATTAGGGATGCCTTGTTTTCTTCTAGGAACACCTAAAAGCAAAGTAGTGCCAAGATTTGTGGCTGCTCACAGACACACCATAACTCTCTGACCAATATTGTGTTTAATAGAAATCTTCAAAAGAAATGGAATCTCTCTCTTGAGAATTTTAGAAGTTTCACAGGAGATTTAAGCATCCTGCAAGATGCTGTAAAAACAAGGCACTTGACATGCTTTGCTATTTAAGTGTATGAAACATTACTTTTCAGATGACTGAGACAATACTTAATCTATTACAAGTTTAGGGTTGTCATGGGCTTTTCAATATAATTTCCTCCTAGACAAACTTGGGATAGAAGTCTCAGAAGCTTATTTTTTAATAAGCTCTCTGTTCCAAACCAGGTTTTTCCCCTGACATTTTTTATAGACCTCTTGAGTTAGGGGAAAAATATCCCCTAGATTCAGGGGATAGGGTGAAAACTGCAGTACAACAGAAGGGAGAAAAATATTTTTGTCTGTAAAAAAAGCCTGAGTGTTTTTCATGGAGTTGCCTCTGAACAGCATAGCTGCAGTTACAGAGCTGTACCAGAGAATCTTAATATGGGTAGTCCAGTGAATGTGTTTGATTAAAAAGCACAGAGACCCATTCTTCTGCAGGAGTTCTGCTCATACACTTCTAATTTGTTCTTTCCAAATTGTGTCAAATTCTGTTTGCCATTAACAGAAGATGAAGAATCTGCAGCAACAAGAGATGTGTCTCGTCACTTTGAGGATACCAGCTATGGTTACAAAGACTTCTCCAGACACGGAATGCACGTGCCCACCTTTCGTGCTCAGGTAAAAGGCTGGGGGCTGCCGTCAGGAGGCTTGGGGAACAACCTGCTCATTGTGCCAGATACCAAACCTGGAAATGGCTGTGCTCTCACTGCCTTGTGGGTGAGGCTTAAAGCCAGCAAATGAACAACCCCCACCCCCAGTGAAGTATCTGCCCTGGATCTATGATTGTATTAAAGCTCTGGGTCTCATTTCTGAAATGCTCCATTCTGCATTTTTACTTATTCTAAGGATTATTCCTGGGAAGACCATGGCTATTCCTTGGTTAATCGTCTCTATCCAGATGTGGGACAACTACTTGATGAGAAGTTCCATATTGCTTATAATCTGACTTACAACACAATGGCCATGCACAAAGATGTGGATACCTCAATGCTTAGACGAGCTATTTGGAACTATATTCATTGTATGTTTGGAATAAGGTCAGTTTTACTGTTTTTGTTCTAAACACATTGGCTTTTCTTTCTTGGGTTGAACCACAACTATTAAGCAAACATGCATGTATTTTTAAACATATTTTTGTTTATGGGGGAGGGCCACTAGTGCTACACTTACCCAATAATTTTTTGCCATAGGAACTTAGAAACAATGCAAGTGAAATAACTGCTGCTTGAAAATGAAAGTGTTTTTCTTTCAATTCCATACAGATACGATGATTATGACTATGGTGAAATTAATCAGTTGTTGGACCGCAGCTTTAAAGTTTATATCAAGACCGTGGTTTGCACTCCTGAAAAGACCACAAAAAGAATGTATGATAGCTTCTGGAGACAGTTTGAACACTCTGAGAAGGTACAGTTGGTGTGCATGCTGAAGGACAGCCACAGGCCCTAGATCAATGTCTCCCTGACAGCCACAGCCACACAGCTTAAGCTTTAGCTGATGCTCCTGGGGTTCTGCTCACCATCAAGTCATTAGGAAGTGTCATATTCCCAGGCTGAAATAATCTCCCCTTTCCTCCTGCCTGTGTGCTGGCTAATAGCTGACACGGACTGGGCAAGCTCTGAGCAGTGCAGGGGGTTAGACATGAGAATGGTACAGCTTCATCTCAACTGCAGTCAGTACTGCCTGTATCCCAGAGAGGCAGGGAAGTGGTGCAAGATCCATCCATCCCTTGGCAGCAGACCTGGAACTCCAGGCTGCTCCAGTCCCTTGGTCCTTCTGGCATGGATAGCCCCAAAGCAGTTTCTTTGTTAAAGCCTAAAAGCTCTTCTGCTGGGTTACAATCTGAATTGCACCTCCCACATTTCCTGCTGTTAATTCCCAGATATTGAATCCATTTAGTTTATATCCTTCAGTTTTTCTTTGGAAAGGTATTTCTTAGCCTCACTTAAACTCAATGCTGAAACAAAAAATGCAGAAATCATTAATGTTGATATCATTAGAGGCTCTAGTTTTTGGTAAACCTCTTAAAGCAGGGTCCTATAACTACAATGATGTAAGATGGTTCAAGTAAAACACCGCCTATGTTTTGGTTAGACTAACTGTGATATATGAGCTTTCCAAGCATATAAATCCTTCTTTAAAGCCCAAAACTTTGCATCTCCATAGCTATCAAAATCCGAGGCTCGTTCCCATATGTGTCACTGAACATACATGTTCATGGAGATCATGCAGATGAAACCACAAACAACCCTTACATGCCAGAGAGAAAGTACTTTCACACCCTCCTGCCCACAAGTTTCTGATCTCATCCTCAAAGAAATGCAGTAAAGGCATTGAGGGGATGATCTGGGGATCTAAAATTCTTACCTCCAGTAGCTACTGAACACCTGTGTCTCTGTAGAGACAGCAGGTTTATGGCACTTGAGAGTTTTTCTGGTGCTTCACCTTGGCCAACCACTCTGTGCTGTTCAGGTGGTAGCTGCTTGTGTGTTTCTCAGTGTCCAGGGGCAAGTGTCCTCATGACCTCTGCCTTTGCTAGCACTGCCCTCTGCCTTAATCATTAGCCTCATTAAAATTGAACAAGCTGTGCATAATTGTGCTGCTCAAGAAGGACTTGTGTGCTTGAAAGTTTGTCTGTTTTTCCTGCTAAACCATGGGGTCTGCTAAAGCGTGATTTCCTTTTCCTATGGCCCTGGCCCTTCCTAAGTGTGCCTGTGAGCCAGTGCCACATTGTGCCACAGCACCAGATGCGGCATTGGTTCCTCTGCCCGTCTCAGTGAGCTCCACAGCAAGGTCTGGGTGGTGACACGGGCAGTGCTCCCCTGCTGCTGCTGCACCAGCACAACACCCACAGCCCCAAGGCTTCCTTTGGCACGGTGCTAAAGCATAACTTCTCTCTCCTGAAGGTCCATGTAAATTTGCTTCTGGTAGAAGCTCGGATGCAAGCCGAACTACTTTATGCTCTGAGAGCTATTACTCGCTATATGACCTGATGTCTCTGGCTGCCTGTCGACGTTGGAATGTTCTGCAGCTGCAGTATGGCAGAGGAAGATACGAAGCCTCAGGACCAACAGTAGCTATAAGTTAAGATGCCCATTGTGCCATAACTCCTTTAGTTTCAGCTATTTCCATGTTTGGAATATCATTGCTGCCACTGGGCAGCGAACGCTTGGCAGTTGACAGACAGGGTTGTGCAGAAGTGCTGCCTGCTCATGGTATTTTGGCTTTAGATAGCCCAGGACATTCTCTGAACTTGTGGCAATATAGCAAACCATAGATACATAGATCTTGTGTTAAGGCAAATACTGCGGGAGTCGGAGCACGAAAAAAACGAGACTTGATGACATTTGCTTTCCCTACGAGAATAATTTTAGAAAATCTTGATGCTGCTATTTGTGCAGGTGGAGTGAACAGACCCAGGCTGTTCCAGTTGAGCTAGAAGTGAAAGTGAGCACTGCTATTGTCTGAGCCTTTACTGTGTGTGGTTTCAAAAAAGCCTTGTTATTTAGATTCCCTGTTTAATCAGAACTAAACCTCCTCTGTCCACACTGATAATTTGAAAGATAGCAGTCAATTTTCTCAACTAGTTTAGCCTTAAAAACAGGATGTTTGTTCAGCATTATTTCGTGAGCTCAAATGTGCAATGGTCTTCCTATGGAAAGAAGGGGACTGGAGTCCTCAGAGCTTCTTAGAGATCTACCTACACAAAGCGTTGAGTAGCTTCTTGTCCTCCTTTTCATGGATGAACCAAGAAGGAGCTAGGACAAGGTGTGGGAATGTTGTTCTAGACTGCCAAACAGTCCTACTGTATTACATGCCCAACGCTGGTCTTAATGATTTTTGCAGTTGCTTAAATAACTAGGCTAAAAAACATCTATTTTTAGTAAATCAAAACATGATTTAAATGCTGACATTTAATATACAGTGGTTTTGGAGAACACATGAATACTTTTGTATGAGTGTGAATTGCTTTTTAAATTTGTCAGTATTACTGGTATTTTTGAAATAAAGGTAACAACTTTTTCTCTTGGTGTTTCTGTGTAGTTTAACTTTAAGCTTCTGTTCTTACAGGTTCTAAGACCATATAAAATGTTTGAAACAGTAACTGAGCAAACATAGTTAAAATCATGAGCCATGAATTTTTTAACTGAGTCTAAAATGCTGGGAGGAAAAGTTTAACAACAGAGCTAGAGCTTCGCTAACTGGAGTGGGAATACCTCTTCACTACTGCTGATATTTTCACCCATTTGGACAAAACTCTCAAGCACAAGGTGTGAGTCTTGGGGTGTGTGGTGCAGAGCCAGGAGTTGGACTCGATGATGCTGATGGGTTCTTTCCAACTCAGCTGATTGTATGATTTTCTGTGATTCTGTGAAATGGATTTTCCCAAGTCCACAAGCACCACCACTTTAATTTCCATCCTCTGGCCTGGGTCTCAGCTCAGACTAGTTGCTCTTTCTACAGAACCTTCTGAAAACAGTTTTAAGTTTACAGTCCAAGAAGCTAAAATATCTAAAAAGATCTGGGGGAAAAAGATTAATAAACTGTCAAAAATTGTGACTAACAGGAAGCATCTGGTGCTTCCTCTTAACTGAAAATACAGGATTTTTAATGTTCCAAAAACAGAGCAAAACTTTCCTGTCTTAAGGGCATTGTACAGCTGAGCTGTGCCTTTCCAGTCTGTGAACAGTTTCTGCAGCACTTGAGTCTCCAGGTGCTTTCTGAGGTCAAAGGTAGGCATGAATTTTTCCAAGAAACCTAAACTGGCCATTTCCATCCTATGCTCTCCAGCCACATCCAAGCGCCCTCTTGCTTTTCAAGCAGTAAACACTTCAGTGGATCTGTGTGTGAGTGGCTTTATCTGGTCACAGCTGCCATCGGAGCACAAGCCACAACCTGCAGGCAATCCCAACTCGCTCCCCAGTATCCCTGGGCAGCTCCAGCAGAGCCCCAGCCCATGGCTGTGAAGTGCAGTAGCCTCATGTACCTCAGCTGCGGTGCTGGCAGCTCTCCCCAGGGCAGAACAGGAATGGGCTCCTGGGCACGAGAGAGCTGCTGCACTGAGGCCTGTGGCAGAGATACCCAAATGGTAAATGATGCCATAAGAACACACCTGGAATCCAGCATTCTGGGGCTGCTTTCTACTACTCACAGGTCTTTCTCCAGAGGAAGATGGAGGCTGGTATAGCTTCACTGGAAGGGTACTCAAGGTCCTGTGCTGCCATCTCTTCTCAATCCAGCTCCTCTGAACATGCCTCTTACTGCACAAAGGCCAGAACTCACACATGGTGGCTTGTCCCAGGATCCCCAGCTCTGCCCTGTGCTGCCCAAGAGCTTCAGGCTCTTGGTTACAATTTGATCAGTAATAACTGACATAATTCGTGTTGTATTTGAACAATCTTAATTGCCCAAGCACCACCTTGACTTGAGCCAGCCATCAGTTTCAGCTGCCTTCTGAGAGACACTCAGTCCTTGTCAATTCTGATCAGTCCTGCTGACAGGGCTTGGCCAGGGGCACCTTTTCCAGTGCCCCCACCCTGCCCTGCACAGCCGGGTGTTTGCCTGCCAGGCTGTGACACAAATGCCAGGAACAAATGCCTCCAGCTTCTTCCCCACAGGGACTGCTTACCCATCATCCTTTCTTTTATACTCTCTCAAAGCAAATCCATTCTTTTCTCCCAGAAACAAATAATTGAAAGCATTTATCTTCCTTTCAACTTCAGCTAAAATTAAAATGGCAAAAGAAGGGATGATAATTGAGATATTTTTGAGTTGAGCAGAGCTGTTGTTGGAGCAAAACCACATTGAATGCTGAGCACTTCTCTCCTGTGGATTGCAGTGACAGAGGCTCTCCACCACACAAGCTCCCAAAGCAGGGCTGAGCCTTGCTGGGCACAAGTAACACCTGAGCTGCTGAGACAAAGAATAGAGCAAATTTTATCACTTCCACCGAAGTTTCCTCTTCACCACTCCCAAAACCTGGACCACAAAATCTTCCTTTTCCTGCCCCATAAAAGCAGGGATCTAAACTAGGAAAGAAGTCTTGCTGCCCTTCCACTATGGCTCCACTTCCCAGCCTCCTCGCTGCCTCTCCTCGCCTGAAGCAGAGATCTGGGCACCACCAAAGGGAGAGAGAATGGAGCCACTGAGGGAGCTCTGAATCGCTGCCTCCCAGCAAATTCCTCCAGTCTCCTGGGACTGCCAGGCTGGAGCCACAGCAGTCAGGAAGAACAGGGAGAAAGAGGCCTGTTACGGCCCCACAGATGGGGACAAAGGTTCAGGGGGACAGCTGGCCAAGAAATCTGAGAACTATAGGCACACAGACGGCTCCTGGGAGTGTGGGACCAACTGAGAGAAGGTAAAATCTTCTCTGACATCAGGGATATGGGTGTTTTGCCTAAAGATGTGAAGTGCCAATTCAGGAAAGACCAGCACAGCTGGACCTACATCCCACAAGCATCAAGGCAGCAGCTGGGTTAGCAAGGATACCCTAGACCTTGGCCCTCAGTGTCAGAAGGAAGGGGGATCTCCCAAAGAACGCGTGGGGTGACTTTCCCTGACCACCAACAGTGTTCAATCTGAAGAGTGAAGCTCATGAAGGAACACAGGAAATGCCCAAACAGCCCTGGGTTACTGTCACAGAAGTTCTTTAAGGTAAAAGCATGTCAAAGTCTGCAGGTGAGATATGGCTCCTGTCATATTACATTTGTTTGCACAGCATTTTTGGTACCAGAGAGGCCCAAGTACTCACTCATAACTTACCTTTTAAAAATCAGAAGTCCAGCAAATATTTTTGTTTCATTTTTACAGACAAGAAACAATGCAATTACTAGACAAGTCACACTGAACAGCTGCTTCATCAGCTCAAGTATATTGTAAAACACATGCAAAAATTCCATACAAGCTCTTCAAAAGATAGTATCCAGTACATAAATGCCAGGCTTTCCTGACTTCTTTTTAAAAACAGTCATGCTCTCCAACAAGCTTACCAATGGCAATATACAGATATATTAGAAATATAAATTTACCCGACAAAAAAGCCCCAACTGATTAAAATGGAGTGATAAACTCAGCTGGAAGAGTGATGGCTTTGAATTCTGTCAAGAAGTTTTTCTGCCACAGGTTTGAACTCTCTTTCCCAATATATTTTTTGGCAGTCCTTTATATCTCTCTCAAGGCTGCACTCCAACTCTACCTCTTCATCTGTAATCAAGGAAAATACCGTCATCAGTTCCAGATAAAAATATACTCAACTACATATTTTGTAACACACACAGCTTACCAGCTGTGTATGCTGATGTCTTAAAAAAACCTGCACTTGAGGTAAGTTAAGCATCACTGTGGGAGTGTCTTAGATTTAATTGGAAATAAAGGATGGTAAGGGCACTAGAACAGTGAAAATGGTACTGCAGGTTCTTTTACTCTCACACCTCACAGTGTCTGTGAGACAAAAACTGTCTCTGAGATTGAATATTGACTGTCAGTCTGGAAAGTTCTCAGAGTTTAATATTGCCCACAGCAATCTTCCTGAAATAAGCAAACCATTGATCTAACTACAACTATGTTTTTCCTGCCCCAAATTTCTCTGCTAATCTGGAGACTCTTTCAAACTCTATCTACTCTCACACCAAAGGAACTTGAACCACACTAGTTTATTGCATTTACTGATGCTCTCCCTTCCTTGCAAATTTCAAAAATAAAACAATAGGACAGTCTTTATTAAAGACAATGTTAGGAATGGAAGGAAGTAATCAGTCATTTTTCCCCCTCCACTTTGCTTAGCATTGGATGTGGCAAAGAGACAAACTCTTGGAGAAAACAGAAACCAGTCTGCAGCCAGAAGCATTCTCCTGAATCAGGAATCTACAAACACAACTGATAATGCTGAACAAATGTTTTCACACAGTTTAACAGAAGGATATTTGACAGCCATAAACAGACTTAAAATGAAGGTAGAATCCTGCTCCAAATGGGCAATACTTAACCCTTGGCCTACACTATGAAAAAGCACCAGATTCACCATGTGTTAAATAAATTCTGTAAGGGAGCTTATTGCACAGTCACAGCAGGTAAAGGCAACCTGGGGCTGAAGAAAAACTTCAGTTACCCACATTTTGAATCAAACTTTGTATAGAAGAGATGCTCCAACAGCACTTACTCCCATCCAAAGTATGTCAAGGTGCCTGAGCAGATAAGATGGCCTGAGCTGAGACAGGTATGAAGGAGGAAATGACATTTCTGTGTGTGGAGATGGGCTCCAGCTCACACAAAGTTACCAGCAACTGGAAACAGCACTGGCTCCTGTGCCACTACACTGCAACTACCGAAATTAAAGAGAGGCTGATTGTGAGAAAGATTCCAAAAGGGGTTCTAGGTAAGGAGATGACATTTAGAGTTTTTCTGTAATAAAATAAAGAGGAAAATAACATCCATTATTCCAAGAAGGATGTCCTATCTCTGCAAGAAGAAAACTTGTAATCAGAGATAAAATCCAGCCTCTGACATCAAATCTGTATTTTATGATGTCATAGGATAATTTAGGTTGGAAAAAACCTCTGGAGCAGAGTCACCATGTATCAGTTTGCTCTAGTCCATGTACTGTTGGGTACTGAACACCTTCTACAACAGCAGCCTGTTCCAGTGCTTAACCCCTGCCACGATGGAAATCTCTTTTCCTAATGTTTAATTGGAATTTTGTCTTATTGCAACCTATGCCCATTAGCTCTTGTTCTATCAATGGCACAGTAACCCAACATACCTAAAATCAATCTCAGCAGCAGAGAAGCCAGGGACCCTGAAGTGGAAAATAGGGGATTATTTGTTTTCAAGGAGAATTGCTTTTCCTACTGTTTTTTTCTACCCGAATTAACTCTGTTCCAACATAGAGCGAGAGGCATTTCTCCCTTTTATTAGCCAGCTGTGCTCCCCAGAAGTCGACTGAATATTTATGGAATCACTGAGGTCGAGAATTCCAGCCTACAAGAACAAGGGTCAGAAGCAGTTCAAAGCTGAAGTGTTGAACTGAAACAGTAAATTTCCCAAAGCAGAACGTGAGTAACGCCGTGGATCAGTGAGGATCAGTGCTCTGCATGCAAGCTGTGCATCCTCAGATAATTTCATTTTCCCACGACTCTCCTCAAAAACCAGAAATATTGGGTCCTGGCCAAAGAGCATATGTGCTGGCTGCAAGCCCAAGAACAAGACAAACACACTGGGCCTGCATACTGTGGGGAAAACTGGAGACTGGAGGGCAGATCCCTGCAGCCTGAAAGGGCTGCCCATCCTTGAAACACAGGCAAAACAGGGGCTGGGTGGCCTGGAAGCTCTGTCATGTCATGTAAGAGTTCACATGTGCTGAGATTCCAAAATAACCTCCTGGAATTGACAGAGGTGGTAAAAGTCAGCACAAGAAAAAGTCTGAAGAGAGAGGGAAAAACTTTCTCTTCAGTGAAAGACCATTGGGAAGAATGTTCCCAAGACAGAGGCTCATCTCCACTGCTGCTCATGAGGGCCTGGGCCAAGGCAAAGCTGCTGCCAGGGGCCTGGGAACAGCAGCCTCCAGAAGCTCTGAGCCAGCAGAGTGACAATGAAACTCAAGAGCAGCTGAAAGAAGGTAAATGACAAGTGCCACTGGAAGGCAGGGCCACTGCATCGCAGGCTGCTGGGATCAGGCAGGGAAAAAGAAAAACAAATAGTGCCCTTTGTCCAGCCTTTCTCTTGGGCACATCATCTTTTCAGGCCATTTCCATTCCCTTTGCTTCCTTGTATCTTTTGTCATCCTGTGCCAGATGGAGGAGGGAAAAATAAAGGGGAGGAGGCCAAGCACAGCAGGTGAAGCGAGGTGTCTGCTGTGCCATGCTCCATTTTTTCCCTCTTCCTGAGGGTGTGCTGACGCTCAAGTACAGTTCACTGGCTGTCAGCAGTTGCCTCCTGCTTCCTGAATGATAGAATCAGAGCAATGACAGTTCAAGGCTGTTACTGGACACAATGGCAGGAGGAAGATGTAGGACAATATTAACCAGCTGCTATTACTAAGATCAGTTGGCTCTCTGCACACAGAGGAACCAGATCCCATGAATAAGAAGTGCTTTGTCTACAGCTCTTCTTTTGACTACAGTGTGAAGAATGACTGGCCTTCTGATTTAATTCTAACCTATTCCTAATTAATTACCATTACAGCTGCATTACAATCACGCCTGTAACTGCAATTGCAATTGTATGTGAACTTCCAGTTCATGAACGTTATACTATTCAATTAGACTTACAATTGCTATCCAGCCTGGACTTGCAGTCAAATCAATTGCTTCAATAAGCAGTGTTAAATGCAGAGGAAAAAAATAAGCACGTGCTTTCTAAAACAAATATATATATACCACCTGCTGTGTGCCAGAAAATTCAAGCATAATTGTGGCTAAAAAGTTTGCAGGTCTCTTGCAGAATGTTAGAAAGTGCATTAATAACCTTGAATCACTGCTATTTTTGGATAAATAGATGGAATTACTGCACACATTAAGAGAAAGTCAATCATAGCAAGAAATGTAATACAAGGAACTACTACAGCAGCAAATATCAGTAATTCTGCTTTAACTGGAAAAAAAATTCTCACAAATCCACACACTTTTCTGATTATCTACAACGAAAGATACCATGAGATTTCATGTTCTGTCTGGGTCTGACAGTAAGCACACATCTTAAAACAATTTCCAATTAAAATCATTATCAAGCATAGTTTCCTTCAATTTAGTTTATATTTTAAAGAATTTTTTTAAAGATAATTGCAAGTGACCTACCCAAAATAAAATCATAAGCAAAGCAGCGCTCAGAAACTAAAGGAGGAAAATTACATATACTGGCTACAGGACTATTACACAGCCACTAAACTATGTAAAATTTGAAGCAAAAGTAAATACCCACATGAAAAGATCCCACCGGGTAAGCAAATCAAGGTCCTTACATTCACCTTTCAGCCTTTGTGGAGCAAAGAGCATGCCCTTCCTGGCTTTAGGGAGCAGATGAGAAATTGTCAGGATGTTGCCCTTGCCCACAAGGAGAGCATGGAGAGAAAAGAAAGGTGGCCAGGCACCAAAGTTAGCCTGTTGCACCCCAGAAATGCCACGATCCCCAGGGGACCAGTGTGTGCTGCACAGGAACCACTGTGCTTCTGGACACTCCACACTGGCCAGCCACTGAAAGCTGCAGGACAGACTTCCCACCCAAACCAATCCTGTTTTGATTTTGATCCTTCCATTTCTTCGATTGAGGAAAGGAGACCAAGACCACGAGTCTCACCCAGAAAAGCTGTGAGCAGCAGCAGCAGCGTGTCGGTGTCTCCTCCGAAGCACGAGGCCGTGCTTGTCGTGCCCTCGCTGTAGTTCCACAAGGTTTTGCAGATCAAACACGAGAGCTGCCAGTCTGCTGGCCCAAAGTCTTGTAAGCAGTCAACCAACCTGTCAGTACCAAACAAAACCAGTGGTCTGTTCCATGGAATTTTCTCCTGAGCTCTTCCAAATCTGGCCGTCTAGAAATGTAAGCAAGCTCCATGGAAGTTTGCAGGAAAATTCTATGTTAATAAACTTCAGATGCTACTTTCTTCCTCAGTAACTTCCCCCTTTTATTTAGTGTTGTTCCCCAAGGATGTGGACATGCCTTTTGTCTACACATGTGTGTGCCTACCTGCAGCTGTCCATCCTCTGTAACTTTCTGGCCAAACTGACCAATTTCACTCACATATTTTGCAAATGTAATTACTTCAAAGACACTAAAATTCTATCAAATTTCATTACAGTCTGTGACTGTCAGAAATCTGTGGCTACCACTAAAACAGAGATTGCAATCCAAGCCAAACTTCATCAGTCACTAATGATTCATCTGGAAAAGGTGGTGGGAATGCAGAAAAAGCTTCAGTCAGAATATCCATCTTACTATACATCAGATTATCTCACAAAAAAAACAAATCCAAAGGAATTTTCTACTTCCACGATCAAAGAATTACCTTTCACATTCAGTGAAGTCTCACAATTTTGCAGATCTCACCCATCCTTGCATTTCCTCAGCCTGTACTCCCAAGGGACTCCTCTCAGAAATGCCTGTTTTATTAAGGACCATTGGGTTCCAGACCTTTCTCCCCATCTCTCCCTTCCTTTCAGACACCAAATGCAGGCTGGATCCTAAACAGGACTCTGAAATGAAGCTGTAACTTTTCTGCCTGCACCAGCTTACACACAGTAGCTATCCAGAGCTCCCATTTCCAAATTGCAGAGTTCCCAGGTCCTGGGGCTGCAGAAGTAAACCTCTTCCACCTGCTGTCCCTGGTGACCTCTCCAATAGTCATCCTTCACTGTTGTTCTCTTCTTCAACCTTAGGACCCCCTCCTTCCCTCACTTCTCCACTTCACAGAGAGAGTTATAGTCTGTTGATTAGTAAAGGATAACTACTATATTCAGGTATGGCTGAAAATAACAGTCATTGAAGACCACCCAAAAAGAAGTTTGCTTTTTTTCTCCTCTCTGAAGGCAGTCATTGTGGAACAACAGGAGGCATCTAACGAAAAGCCAAAAGAACCTGCCCTATTTTTTTTTTAATTTAACTCTCTGATAAGACTAATTCCCTATTGTCTTTGGGGCACTATATATTGGTATAACAACCTCAGTTCCAAAAATGCATAGAGCTGGTTTGGTACAGTCAGGATAATCTCCATAACAATCACTTCCAAATTCTCTAGGTTTATTCCATGCTGTTACTGCTTTTTGCTCCTTTCCTCACAAATTTTCAGACACAGTATAGAAAATTCTGAATTTATATGATTCTATAGGCTACAGAGTATTCTGTATAATAGAAGTTTCTCATATTTATTATTCAATTTGCCAGGAACTCTTTTTTATTCTCTTTTTCCAACCTTATATTGTAAGTTAACTAGAACATGGGAAGGAAGGACGAGAAGACTATGCATTGTTTACCGTGTATAAAAAAGTAATTATATGATGTATGAACAGGAAAGCATTTCAAAGTGAGGCATATTGTTTCATAACTGTGGGCTGTAGCAACTGCTTTACAAGCACAGGAACATGATCTTTCATGTTGCTCCAATTAAGCTGGATCCGCTATTATCTGAACATCAAAGCCACAAGTGTTGCAGTGGTTTTTCAAGGTCTAATATCCCTTACAATGTTATAGTGCCTTAAACTTGAACCCCCAGAGAGAGGAGACTCAGGAGCTATTCTCTGCAGAGTGTGGCTACATCAGGTAGCCTTCCCTACAGAACCAAGTGGTTACAAAAAATTACAAGGGACCATGTAGGGTATCAGTTCCTGAAGTACCTTCACACTTGTACCAGAAACACGCTGACTGTGCTGTTCACTGTAGTCCTCCTAGATTCCACTTAAGCCAAGCACGAGCAGCTGCTGCAAAGCCAGGCCTTAGCTGCTTTCTTCTATGGTACCCTCTGCTGCGTACATGACAGAGGGTCTTTGGGAGACTTTTCTGTGGGGTTTGGCTCCTATGAAAGGCTTGTTCTCAAAGAATTTTAAATACCAAGTGTCTACTATGCTGGCATCCTTATTACAAGCTACTGGCCTCAGTAAAAAAGAATCCAATTGAAACTTTTTAGCCAAACTACTCAAAATTGCCTTTTCTCAAGCACAATCAGGAACTTACTTTCCAATTCCTCCTTCTTCCATCAGAAAAGCTCGTTTGTCTTCATCTACTGTGAGATTGAGCAGAACTCCACAGGCAGGAAAACAGACCTCTCGGTTCTTGGAATCCAGCAAAGCAATCAAGAACTTGTATACTGGAGTATAAAGAAGGAAACAATGTTACTAGGGAGATGGAGTTACCATACAAGTGGCATTACAACATACTTATTAGAAAGCAGTCAAATGCAGGATACACTATCCAAAAATTGTAGCGTATTACTGTGACATTTGTAGAGGAGGCACATGACAGAGTAACATCATGCAGACCACCGACGTCCTTCAAAACAACAAACCAGAAATTCCAGTAATAAAAATATGCCAAAGAAATGTGAAAATCCCATCAGAAGAGACTAAGTTGACCAAACTGAATTGCAGGTTGCTTCTTGAAAGTAACACCCTCCCCTTTGTATCTTAGAGTCAGCAGAAATTACAAGGATTTGGCATCTGGCAGTCAGAGGGGGGAAGTTCTTTTCCCTGAGTGCAGGGTTGTCCCAGACTGCACCAAGTTCAGGTGGAAGTGCAGCAGCCTGGGGCTCCTGTGGGAGCATCCCACAGCACCTACTGGCACTGACTGTGGAGCTGTGGAGCCAGGGAGCTGGGCTGGCCTCACTGAGAGGAAGCCTCTCAGCAATTCTTGAACTTGGCACACCAACATCCCAGTCTTTCCCAGCTGGAAAACTTAGTCCTTTGACTGAGACTGTTCACCAGGAACCAGCTACTAAGGGTCACTCCTCTCTTCAAATATGGTGATGTGCCACTCTTGGACCACCTCACTTTCAGCAACAAGAGGCAGACAAAAAAAAAATTAAAACATTTACAGTGGTGTCTAAGCTGAGGACACACCTTTGTGGAAAGCAAGGAGTTGCCATTTTCCCCAAAGCTCTTCAGATACCCAAAGCAAAAGGACTTGAGAAGACTTGCATCCTACTTCACCCCGAGGCAAACAGGAGGTCTTTGCTGAGGCAGTCAAATCCTAGCTGCATGTTACAAAGTGCTAACAAGCCGTCGACTATGGGAATCAAAAATCTAAGATTGTGAACCTAAATGAGTTTTTAGTTGGATTTTCATTTCATATTATATCATGTCTAAGCTGCAGGATCTGAAAAGCTATTTGAGTAAAGGGAAATTTCAAATTTGAAACTTTAGGAAAAACAGAGTTTTTGTAGTATTTACCTTTGTGAAAATGCCATGGCATATTTTTCCTACTCCAATATTTCCATTTTAATGAAACTGAAATAAAATGGTGTTTATAATGACTATTCTGGGATTCTAATGTTTGCCTAATTTGCAAAACATCAGGGAAGATTGCTTCTACCCTTTAACTGAGACAGCTTATTAACAGTCTTTTTAGAACCATGGACATTTAAAAATAGAACTCCTACAAATGAAAAAGTAACTCACTCTTCTTCTGCATGATGAAGTCACGGATCTCATGATGCTGGGAAAGATTGCCAAAGACTCTGACAGCCTCCACAACTGCATCCATATTGTAACTCATTAACATCTTTACAAGCACTATTAGTTTTCAGAGAAATTAAATAAAAATAATTACTTGTAAATCACAAATAAATGGTTGGTTTTTTATCAGTGACTATCAGAATTCAAACAGCAACAGCGATAAATGTAATAAATGGGAGAAATTGTCTGTCTGTCTGGTGGCAGGAAAGGGGGTGAGCTGATGGTAGAACAAGAATGAAATTGTGCAGGGATTTGAAGATAAAACAAAGAGCTCCAATATGGGACTAAATTCAAAGGAACAACAAGGAGTTATGGAGGCAATCTAAGCACAGTTGTAATAACGGGAGCCAGTTTTGCTAGGCAGTTTTGAGTGGGCTCGCGAAAATCGAGGTAGACATAATTTAAAAAATGTTGTAATATATAAAATAATTGATTTAGATCCTGAACAGATGGTCTTATGGTGGGATGTCTCTTAAAGCTCAAATTATTTTCTGACATTAGCTCTGTTTTCTTCTCAGTGCTGCTGTAACACGGAAACACATTTTCTCTGAACAGCTACTTAATATTGTCCCAATCAGAAGCATTTACATCCTTGCTGCTTTTCTGCTTGGTAGTTTCACATATGATCAGTGTGTACTTCAGCAGCAGGAATGAGACCTTCAGCACTTCCTAGGAAAAGCTGCTATCAGGGAGGATTTTGGTGCATGGCAGAGGAGTGACATTACAGAAGCTACATTTATCAGTCTTCTGTGACTGCAAAGCAAAGCACTGAAATCAGTCCATCACACAGAGGATTCAAAGAAGTCAACCTTTAGCCCTTCAAACAACAGAAGAGAGAAAAAATATACAAGGGAGGTTGGCTTCGTTGTCATTACTTCTGCCTCTGGATGTTGCAATACTGAACACACCTTGAACCTGTCTTAGACATCTGAAGGGATTTTGTCCACCAGCAAGTATTCTCAAAACATCTGCAGGAGTAGAAAGCCTGCTGGTCTTCCATCAAAAGGTTTCCTCTTTCCTCAGTTCAGGAAGGCAATGGGACTAGTTTCACATGCCAAGAAATAGGACAGGAGAGAAGTAATTTGTTTCCAACCAGCAACAAGAGGCAGCTGGCTTATAGGTGATAAAATGAGTCATGACACAACAGCAGAGCTGTTACCTACAGAGAATATGATGTCTACCAGTCCAGGCACTGGGCTGACAGCCAGGATATTTTTTCCTATTCCTCATTCTACCTGTTGTGTGAACTTCAGGTTCTGTCTCTCCCCAGTGTCTTGTCTATTTAGACAGAGAGATATGCAAGACACAGCCTCTCTACCTTTTGTATAACATTAACACAATAGTCCCAGAAGTCAGTGCACTTCCTACACATTGTCCATAACGTCAGAGGGGAGAGAATCAATCAATACAATATTGCCAATGAATTTACTAGCCAGAAACAGACAGAAATCAAATTTAACAGGTATAGAAAGTAGCAAGAAGAAAAAAATCCTCTTGCCATATTGTGATTAGAACAAAAAAGCAACATGATTATTTTGGCTCAGGTATGTGGATTTTGAACAAATCTAGCAAAAAAACTGCTGATCAGAAAACAATATAGCAACTTCCTTTGTGGAGGACAAGAAGGGATTTTGTGAACAACCCAACAATTTTCATGTAAGCCATAGTGTTATTTAAAAAAAAAAGGGAAATCATTATTGAAAGAATTTAGCCCTATGAACTTTTTACTCCTGCAATATAATACCACAAAATGTTACGATATCTTTACTTTCTATTGTGTAAAAATGTTTCTGCTTTCTAAATGCTACACAAAAAGTACTAGTTTAAAAGTCCTTACTTTCAGCAATGTGTAGCTTCTCATCTTGAATTGCAGAATTCTCCACTTGGTAGTAGGACAAATTGTTGATTGTTGTTGCAGCATTGATGACCAACTCTTCACAGGCATCAACTGACTTGTATTCTGAGAGTAAAAAAAAACCCCAAAACATATGCCTATGTAAATAAACACACATGTGACTAATTTTGCAGTGCATCTGATCTCAGAAGCAAACTGAGTAAAAGTTTACATGGCCACTACTGCAGTCAAACCTGTTGTTCAGTAACATGGCAGAAGCTAACAGGAACACCTGAGCCAAAAATGGCAATAAAAAAACACTCTTTCCCATTATTAATTTACAGAAATCATTGTGACTCAGGCAATATAGTTTAAAATTTAGTTGGTTAAGGCTTTTTACAAATCCTGTTTGCTGTTTTAAGATGGCACTGAGGAGAGCCAACATATAGAAACAGGGCTGTGTGAGACATGGAGAAACACCAAGGACTATTATACTATTATACCTTCAAAAAGATCTGAAAGATTTTTCTCTTAAGCGTTCCTGACAGATTGTTAACCCATGCAAAAGTCTGAAAGAGTTATTTGTCCGAGGTCTCTGACCTCAGAAGCCAAGAGTGAAGGAAATACAAGAGGGGTAAGTTCATAGGGAGACAGAACATTTTGTAGTAAACTGACTGATAGAATACTCAAGAAGAGGAGAGGGTGGCAGAGAGCAGCTCTGAAGGTCAAAAGCACTTAATCATTAAGACATTAAGACAGTTTCAACCCACGAGACAGAGCCAAGTTGAGAGTCTGACTTGTCTCATCCCTCATGACTAGTAAGACAGTGTACAATCAGGTTGGTTATCTTAACATAATATTTAATGTTCTCATTATACAGTAAAATATACTGAGCTGTTTAAGATGTATCTTGTCACTGCTAAACTGTTCTGGGGAGAACAAACCAGCCCTGGTCTGTAATTAGATTTACAAGGGGATCAGTAAATGATAAAGGAACTGCTGTCCTAATCCTCCATTGGGAGGTAGACACCTTCTCCCACATGAAAGGGATAAGAGGTTGTAAGACCAAAAAAAAGAAAAAAGTAAGAGAAAATTCTTTGAAGAGGCTGAAAGTTATGGGTGCAGAGAACAGAAACAATACTTAATCCAAAATAGTCACAAAAAGTGCAAACCTTCTAAAAAACCAAAACACCACCAAACACATCTATATAGCACCTGATAGGAACAAACTTTCCCTATATATTAACTCTCAGTGGGATATGTTTAAATAAAATTTGTTTTCTTATCCTTAATGATCCTATCTGCAAATCTGATCACTAAATTAAAGGCTTCTACAACATCTTTCCCCAGATACTGAAAAGTCAGTACCAAAGTAGCAATGCTTCCACTGTCTCAAGCAGGCCTTCTACATAAAACAGTTCATAAATATCAGCCAATTGGCTTAGGGGCTTTTTTGCAATGGAAAGTCTTAAACTCTCCTTACAGGCTGAAAGAAGGTAACAAACACAACATAAATTTTATTACCTAGTACTGTAACAAGCAATCCTACAAGAGGATGGGCAGCTGCCAGAGCTGTGCCCACTTTAGGGTGAATGGAGAGGTTGGCCAGCACTCTTAACAGTTTTATCAGAACATCTTCTGCTTTTGAAGGATGCTTTCCATCTTTTTTTCCTTTTCCTTTTCTATCATGGTGCCATGTCAGTGCATTCAAATCAAGTTCATAGTAGGTTTGGAATAATGATGTCAAGGTGTCAATACTTTCTTTTTCTTTAAAAAATTGCTCCCGGGACTGGTCATCCTTTGCTGTTAAATTACCAAGAATGAAGATGATATGGATAACCAAATCCTGAAACAAAATAAATAAATAAACCATGTTACATGGAAAACAGAAGGTGGTAGCTGCTTGAAAAGATGATAATACTTCATTTGCTTCCCAATTCAGATAATAGCACATCCAGAACAACTGAAGGAATGCCAAACACAGCAACTAGAAATACATTCTTATGCTACCAATTTTCATAACCTGATTTACAGAAGAAATCAAACACATCTGACAGAACGAGTATAGCACTGGAGTGATTACTATTGGGATATATTTAGTACAAGTAATCTATTTTTACCAAGCCCACAGTAATCTTAAAACGTCTTAAAACTGCACTTTATATAACTAGAATAATCATATGGGCCAGGATTTACTAATCTTTCAAATAAGCAAGTGTCAACTGTGACAGGCAGAGACCACAACCTTTCCTTTTCTAGGCCTGATAACCATTGTAGAGGTTAAACTCCTTCCCCTTGATTTGTTACTGTTAAATTCAAAATAGGTTTTCTTTATTTTGTTGTTCATTCATATCTGTTCAATTTCTTACAGATAGTTGAATTATTTGTTCCAGATTTTTACCAGAAATATATTCTAAATTGACTGGTCTGTCATTCCCCAGTTCCTCCTCTTTCTCATTTTAAAAACAAGCACCCAATAACCTTGTAATTCTTCATAACTTTTCAAGAATCTCAGAGATTGGAATCCACTTTCTGGCTTTTAGTAAACACCAAAAGGTAAATTTCATCAGCTGGTTTGATGACATTTAATATGCTCCAGCCTGTTTATAAGTGATAAAAGAATCCAGGTCGAAGTAGAGATTATTTATTTGGTCATACACAATCCTTTCAGAAAAACAGGCAAAAAAAAAAAAAAGGCATTTCACAGTGGTAACGTCAGTAATGCTCACCTTCTTCTGAACACCAGAGCAATTATTACCTCGTTGTCTTCTCACTGTACTATTAAAGGTTTTGTTTCTTTTTATGTCCCTTTGTGGTTGCACCTCATATTGTGCTCTGTTGTTTTTTTTTTTCTGATTTGAGACGCTCTTCCTATTCTTCTATTTTTATCATTGCTGAATGAGACCTACTTTCTATTTTCTATCATGAGATCTCATGATTTAACCAAGTTGCTCTCCTAAAGCACTTTCTAGCTTGACCTTCATTTTGTATGTACTGAGATACAACCTTTTAGTGGCAAGACTAGTGGATCTTTACTGAATAGCATTCAACAATATCCCCATCTTTTTCTTACTCAGTAGTATGTGACAAGAAAAAAATTGTCAAAGTCCAAAGTAACTCAAGTTTAAACTACTTAAAACATTTCCCTCTGTCACTTGCAGCAAAACCTACTCATTTTTTAAGTCTGTAGCTTTACCTTAATGGTGCAGGTAAAGTAACAGCATTTCTTCAAGCACACAAGAAACATCCACCTTTAATTGCTATCCTGCTGTACTGGCACTAACTAAGAATTCTGCTAAACAATTCATATGCTGTTTTTCTTCAAATATCACATTTATATTTACACATATTCTAGCCCTCCCTGGTATTAGCAACATAAGTTAACCAGGCACAGTCTAACTTGTTAAAGTAAACAAGCCAATACTGAAGAAAAAAGATGTTTAGGCAGCAACTCCTTCTTTGATACATGCCTTCATCAGTAAGTTTCAGGTCTTAAGCCTCGGCCACAAGACACTGGCAATAACATCCTCTCAGGAAGATGAGTGCTATGCCTGAACATGAGAAGCAGCAGTCTCCTAAGTAAGGAAATGGTTCACATCCATGTATTTAATAATATCACTCTGTAGGACCCACTTCCGCTTTTTTTTTTTTAACTAGGCATCACATTTTTGTTAGGATCTAAATGTCATCAAGACAATTTTGTTCTGAATATTCTTAATGACTAACCACTAAGTGCTTTCACCTTTGCTGGCACAACACCCAACTCACAAAGGCTGTAAAAATTTGAAACAAACAACTGATGAATCAGAAGAGAGAACTGAAAAAAAGCAGGCAGTCTAGTTTGACTCGTTTATATTGACTTTCTAATTTTGGTCAAAATGGTATCAGCCCAGCAACAGCTCTACCCAATCAGGAAAGAGACAAACAGGTACCGCACAGCCATCAACTGATATTTTGAGAAGTGTGATCTCAGCTGTGCTTTCCACCTACAGCCCAGCAAAACAAACTTATAAAATACTTTTTTTTTAGCTAAGCACATCCGGCTTTAATAGAATAATACCAGAGTTTCATTATCTTCCAGTGAAAATTTAACTAGCAAAGTCAATGAGGAAAGCTGTGCAACTTCTCCTGAGTAGTACAATGCTCAAAGGCTTGTATTAGCTTTGGCTGTATTTCCTTAAATGCTCATGGATAAGGACTGAAAGAGCAAGAAACACCATCTTAGAATGGCTGTATAAAAAAATGCATGCAAAGCTGCATGATATTTTGAAACTGCTTGCAAGACTAAACCTGTGCAAGGCCCATGGGCCTTTGTGTACATAGCATCTTTCTGTACATAATAAATGAGATTATGTGCATTTCCACATATTTGGAGTATTAACTGCATATGGAATTTTAGACATTCTTTCACACTTACAGAAAAATTACATTTATCAAATCAATGGAAGTTTAACCATGTATTGCACTAAAGACAAACTAGATTAAAGATAGGAATTACACTCAGTTATTTCATCTTTTTATAGTGAGGCATTCATGTGAGACATGATGAACACAGAATGTACTCAAACCTGAGTGGAAGGCTATATACAAGAGCACACAGCTTCACTTACACAAATAAATTTGAACAAACAAATCAAAAAAAGCTTGAGAAGATCTTTCTCTTTGCTTTCTATCTGTGAAAAAAACTGTGATATTTTTCATTTTGAGGTGGTAATGGGACCACATACTCCATCAGCATTTAACTATTCCGGCAACTGAAAAACAAACATCTGATCATCATGGATATGAAATATTTTTTTGCTTATCTACTTCTAAAACTCTCTTCCTTGCACTGCCCTAGTACCAAAGGTAGTCCATGTACCTGCTGAGTCACAGAACCTGACAACAGTTTATCTTGGCAATTAAAGTACACCTGCCTTTCAGTGTAAGCACGATGTACACAGGTACAGACTGTACAGGCGACCTTATCAGTACGGAAGGAAAGCAAATTAGGTCAGTAGCTTCTAACTAAACCAAGATCAATAAGGAAGGACGGTCCAATCTAGAACCCGTGAATGCTGGCCAAGTTCCTGCTACTTTATTTGGTGTCTGGGCCCTCAGAATGAGGGGGATAATACAAAACAAAAGGTCAGATGCCAGCGGCTGAGTTCCTATTGAATCATCAGCTGTAAATGAAATCTGCTTTCCATGTTACACAAATTTCAGTGGAGTTAGTCAAAATTCTACCACCTGCCCTGCTTCTCATTCAAATCTAATTTACACTTCACTTCCAAATTTGTATTTCTGCTTTATTATGCACTTTGGAAAGAAAATTTGGGAGGTTTCTTTGCAGGGTCTGATAGTCTAATTATAGGCAAAATTTCTGTAGTTATACTCACCCAGAGCTAATCTCTTCTGAATACAGTAAAGATTCATCTTGAAGTGACATTATAGCTGGAAAAATTTCTGTTCAAACTCAGAAATGACAGCTATCACAATATGAAACTCAATTTAAAGAATAAAAAAGGGGGAGCAGGCAGTGGTGTAGAACACCCTGGAAGTATTAAAAACAAACAGAGCACCTCTTGACTGAGGAACGGGAAATAAGAAGTTTTGCCACAGTGACAGCAGGGAGTACCTTGTCAGTAAAGAGAACCTCCTTCCCCCCAAATATTAATGCATTTGAGGAGAAGGAGAGACCATTAGTAAAATGTAATTATACTTCTGTGTATCCACACCATAGGGCCCTACCCAATAATTTCTACATCCCAAAATCTGTTCAGCTAAGCTTTTCAAAAAAGGGTTCATTTGCACTTAGTAAAGTTCAGCAATCAAGAACTTGTGCTTAGGTTTTTTTGTGGACACCTGGAGACCTGAGAAAGGTAAAAAAGAAAAGTAAGCACACTGCCACCAGAACAATATTTGATGAAAAGCTGTGTAGGCACTCTAAAAAACAGTATTTCAGAAATCAAATTAATTGAAAAAAAAAGTTTAAAACCATATCCTCCATGCTATTGCTCCAATGATTGTTGATCTCTCTGGTTAAAATCTATATTCTTATTACTACTTAAAATTTGAACAGCTTTAGCTATTTCTTATTGTTCTTTCTTTTTGTTTTTTTCTAGATTAAAAACTGGTCTGCTAACAGAAATGTCTTCCTTGTGCAGATTCTATTAATAGGCAGCTTGCTAATGGTCTGGCCTTTGTCATGTATAAATTAATTTCCTTGAGGCATTTTAACTCTAATAATTCTTTTAGCTTTTTTTAGAGCTGTTCCCAAGCTTTCAGCATCATTTAGAAAAATTAGATCAAAAACCACAATAACATATTTTAATAAGAGTCTCTCACCAAGCAGTATTTTCTTACTATTATTATTGATATTCTATGGTTTACCCATCTAGTAATTACATACACTCACTTTTATCTTTTGATACATCAGAACAGCAGGTTTCTATATGATACATGCCAATGAAGACCGGTTCATTACAAACTTTGAACACTGCATTTCTGATAATTTTATACTCAGTGTACAAATCAAATATTCTGCACTTTTCTTAACATTTTTGCTTTTTCTTTCAGCCAAAAAAAAGAAAAAAAAATCACAACTAAAGCACTAGGAAGATGCTCATACACTTTTCAGCTCAGCACACTGTCAGAAATCATACTGTAGGGAAAGAGTGACCTTGTGCAGTTATTCACACTTATCAGCAGGGAAATTCCTTCAGTTGTCAGAATATCAATCTTAGAATTGCTACTTCCTTCTTGGAAAAAGAAAAGCAAATTCAGAGAGACTGATTAATCAGTTATGAATATGCAAGTACACACACAAAACACCAGAGAAAAATAATGTCTTTTTTGCTCTTTAAA